AGGGAAGAGAGAGAAAGGGGCGAAATATTCTTTTCAAAAAAAATTTAGAAGGGGTTAACAAATTATGTAGCGCATTGGGAGATTGGTTTTAAAGATAAATACACATAGTGGTTTGGTTTTATAGATACAAATAAAACAACTTGGGTTTAAAGATGACTCAGGGTAAATCTTTGGATTGAAAGACGAAAATCTCATGCTGTAAACAACATTTTAACTTTATACCCAGGGTTATATATAAGAACATAAAGTTAGTCGCACTTTTCTGTTAAAATAAGAGAGGGGAAATATCTTTTATTGACGGCTATATATCGTTGTCACCTACAGTGCAGAAGAAAACCGGTGATCCCAAGAGTGGACCGTACAGCCCCGTGCTCGAGGAGGACATGCTCTCGGGGACGGAGCTGACTGTGGACTTCGTCCGCAGCCTCCACGGCGGCTTCCTCTCCCGTGAATCCGCCGACTCCATCCCCTTCTCCTCCGCCCATCTCCCCTCAATCCTCGCTCGCTACTCCAACACCAACCCCACATACATCAAGAAAACCCTCGGCGAGTGCGAAGCGCCTCCCGCACCAGGAGAGCGCAAGCACTGCGCCACGTCGCTCGAGTCCATGGTCGAGTATGTCACAGCTATGCTCGGTACCAGCGATGTTCTCACCCTGTCCACTGTTATGTCGAACGAAGACGTGCCTAGGCAAAGGTACAGGATAACGCCGTCCGGAGTTCAGAAGCTGGATGGGGATGGTTTCGTAGCGTGTCATGCTAGGAAGTACCCGTACGCTGTATTTTACTGCCACTCGACGGAGGGGATTAGGGTTTATCGGGTGTCGGCGGTGGGAGAGGACGGGACGGCGGTGGAGGCGGCAGCGGTTTGCCACAATGTGATTGTTGGGCCGGATGCATATGGGACTAAGTTGGAGGCCGGGAAGTCGTTTTGTCACCTTTTGCCACCGGATCACGTTGTCTGGAGCCCAAAGAATTAAGTGTTATCACTGGACTCAGGCTAGCTCTTCAGTAGAGCTGTGATCAATTGTTGCGTGCACTAATGTGTGGCGTTTCCTACTATATTATGTGCTAGAGTGCTTTGTTATGGTTAACAAAACTATATGTAATGTATAATAATATGGTAATGATGCTAGAGTAATTTCTTAATTTGAATCTGAATTAATGATGTTTTAAATGGTGAACTTTAAGGTGGTAATTAAATGTGTTTAACTAAACCTAAAAGATCCGTGCACATATGAATCTTGATTCTACTTATCAACATAACATGAAACGTCTTCACATCATAATTTTCACCAAATTTGGCCTTGAAGCTAATGAAAATATTTAGGATGAATTTCAGGAAAAAAACACCCTTTAGTGTCACTTAATCTCCTTAAGTATTTCCAGATCATAATTGAGTAACTAACATTGTTAGCTAACTATGCACGTGAAATTTTTTTTGTGTTCAAACGACCAATATGTTCCAAGTGGAAAACCCCTTACATGTGTTTTTATTTTTTTTTAAAATATGATTTTCATAAAAGCCCCTTAAATTTGGTGAAATTAACCCCTTCAATTTGCTCAAAGTTTGGTCCAATTTTGACCAAAATGCCCCCGATTAATTTAATTTAATAACTAGCTAGGGTGTTAACTTCAAAAAACTATTTTAGTCTTCTTACCAATTCATCTAATTAACGCCGTTGGTAGTAGTTCGAAAACTCAAAACTGTTTGGGGTTTTCCGTAACAGTCTAAAGTTAAGGGTTCTAGATTCAAGCCGACATTTTTAAAGTTTAGAAGCTATCCGAAAATTGGCTAAACTTCATGATTCTTTTGAAATTTACCGAAATAACTAAACAGATCGACAGGTCCCCATGCATATCAAATAGAACTGTAATAAGAATACAATTCTCAATGCTAGAGCCTGAGATCTCTAGTTGTCTCTTTAAACATCTTATCTCCAGCCAATAGGAGCTAATAATGCTATTAGAAATAGCATTTAAATAAAACTCAAATTGTTTACGGTTAATTTCGGACATCAAACAAAGATTCCGGAGTTAATACGGGCTCGGATATTTGAGTCATCCATATATAACACTAAAGTTACCGTACACCGACTATTACTCTCTAAAGGTTGTTAACATCGTTTTAGATAAGGATAAAATTAAAGTACATGACCATAATTCTTTCTATTTTTGTAGAGAATCTAGTTTTAAGTTTTATATCACACGGATAATATTAGGACCGCAACAGAATAACGACCTAAGCTATATATGTTGAGGTTACTTGAATTGTTTTTTCTTTTTAATATATGCGCCACTAGAATTCGAAGGAGCGAATAAGAGAGAACAGAAAGAATTGCTGCAGGTATCGATCTTAACTCAGAAGTCAATGGAATCCATGCTCTTTTGATTGCTTAATATGTTTAAATGTGTTGTTTAATTGATTAATTGTTATGTATCTTAATTATAAGACCAAGAAACTTTAGGAACTTAGTTTATGCTTAATATTGTTTATTCATTGGCTATTGATTTGTTTACGCATGCACCTTCTTGATTATGTTATTAACTTAAGATAGAAGATGATAGTTCTTCGGGAACCCTGAATTAATTCTTGATGTGTATGTACTGATACTCTCTCTCTCTCTCTCTCTCTCTCTCTCTCTCTAGTTGTATATGTTCAGTAATCCTATATACATTGATTGCGTTGAGAACAAGTAATTATGACTTGCTAATTCTCTTGATTGCTTTGAAAACAAATAATTGATTATGACTTGCTAATTTTTTATCTCAGGACTCTCAAAAAATTGGAATGAGGTTTTTCTTAATTGTTGTTTGTTGTAATCCTCAAAGAATAATGGAAGACCGTCAAGTTGATAAATTCACAAAAGGAATCAATAATGTTGCTGTAATTTTGAATTTTTTTTGTATACTAATATTGGAAAGTGATGCTTCCTATAAGGTTATATATTTTGATCATCAGTTAAATTAATTGGGTTTATTTTTCTGTCCTAAAGGATCACATTAATGTTAAGTTATGTTGACTAATTATCTTACTAATTAATCTCTTCCTTAACTAATAACTCCGTAAATAATACAAAGTAAATAAGAAGGCGATGGTCGAATTGTCCAATCTTATTGTTTCTTCATGAATAAACTAATAATTATCTATTTTGGGGTTTTTAAAAAAAAGATTCTTTAACCGTTAATTAGAGTTTATTTGTTGTGTCTCCGTCGATTATGCTTGAAGTCTAAAACCTTTCATATTAACTAAATTTGGTTATCAGCACACGTCAAATATCTAAGAATTACGTAAACTCTCAAGTGATGGACGTTGTTATGTAACGGTTGCATGATATGATATGCTTCAAAAGAATATATATAGCAGATCAATATCACGCACAAATATCTTTCATTTTGATGTGTAACACATTTGGATTGTTTTTACTCATAACAACATGCATATTTGATCAATTAAACATCACCTTGAAAATCTCTAACATAACTTCAAAGTCTTCAATTTCAACTTTTAAGTGCAACAAAAAAAAAAAAATCAAACTATGGCCTTTTTCAATATGTTGATTTTTCAGACAGCTTAATAACTATCCCTTTTACACATAGCTAAAATAATAATTATAACTTTTAAAATAATATAATTTTTTTACATATAGATCATGATGAGTGCAAATCACAATGGGCGGTGTCGATTATAGTTTTGGGTAACCTATTGGACCATGGACCATATTACGATAAGAATCCCACCTCATCATCTCATTTTATCATATATATATATATATATATACACACACGCACACGCGCACACACATATATTGGAAACTAGGATATGCAGTTAAGTATATTAAAATTTGATTTATTAATTTTATTGCCTTTTTTCTTCGCTGAGAAAATATTATTACTGTTGTTCTAGAGTGGGAATTAGAATGGTGATTAGTAAATAGGTCAGCACACATAAGAAGGTTTAGGAAAAGTAATATCTAACTGTAACCATATATAGCTGTTTTTTTCCTTTTTATTTATTTATTTTGTTTGGTAAGAAACTAGAATGATGGAAATCAAATATGTTACGATAAACCTAGTAAAAGTTAAAATAATCCACATGTCCACTTAATTAACTAGAAAAACAACTTTATTATAGTAGATGTAGATCAACTTGTTTGTAGCTGCAATATCCAAATTTAGCTGTAGTTTTAAGGTTCTTATGGTGTATATGAAATCAGGAATCTGGAAAAGGTCTTTGGATTAAGTCTATCTAATATATATAAACTCATCATCTAAACTCTATATTTTCAATTAAAAAAAACTTAACCTTTTATATAACCTCTATATCATTTTATTTTTGTACAGTTATTGGTGCAAAAGATATGGAGGAGATTGAGAACGAAGGGAAAGGCTTACAGTATGTCAAAAAGATACCCCCTGGATGGAAATTTTTACCCACCGACGAAGAAATCATCTTTGAATATCTCCACAAGCGAATTCTCAATGAAAAGCTTCCATGCGAAGATGTCATCAAAGAAGTCCACCTATACGAACTAGACATCCCTGATCTCGCAAGTCAGTCCCTATGCGAACTGCCTCTTTATTTTATGATATAATTAAATGTTTATGATTGTGTAAATGGAGAATCTGAAGTGGTTGTGTGCTCATAATTAATGCACTCAAGTAAAATTTTTATTTTGAGTGTGAGTAATGTCCCCGTGTTCCATTGCTAAGAGTTCAATGAAACAACCCAAATAAGTATAAGAAGATGGTAACGATGGATATGAGGTGGCGGCTCATTTTGCTAAATGAGCTACCAATCGGCAGAATCATGATGTCCACATCTCTGGATGTAACTAGAATGCGGACCTCGCTATGTGGATATCCTTTTTGTTAGTTTATTTACCAAAATAAGTTGTCACCTGATCATCCTCATTATCTCTCCTAAGAAGAAAACCCACAAACAGAAGGAGCCGAAGCTATAAACAATGGCGAAATAAAAGAAAAAACAAACACCCCGCTATCTCAAAATCGGAGTTTTCCTGATTTACAAACGTGTCAAGGACTACAGTAGATCTATTGTTCAGTAGCTGGCGATCCGATCCCCAGTTAACTCTTGAAACTCAGCGCTTTGGAAAACAAACTTACAACACGCCATGCCCGCGTCGTTTGGCTTTGTTTTCACTTCTTATCAGGGCATTCTCCCTACATCGACTTGTAGTGATCGCATGACGGTGAAAGAAGTCCATGAACTCTCAACGACCTAGAATTTCTACAACGACAATATTTAGAACTGTCTAGTATCGAAATTTGATCTTCTTGAATGTTAATTGTTGTTTATTGCTGTAATGCAGAGAGATATGAGTCGAGTCAGCAAGAAGGACGTTGGTACTTTTTCACCGACAGGACCCGAAAGTACCGTGGAGGGAACAGGCCAGCACGTTCCACGCCATCTGGCTTCTGGAAGCTCACTGGGTTAAAAACAGAGATCGAACACAATGGAAAAAAGATGGGAGTGAGGAACACTCTCAATTTCTACTGGGGGCTTCAACAGGGGGAGAATTCAAGGACAGAGTGGATGATGCGTGAGTACAGTATAAAGGAGTTTCAGATACCTAAGGAACCTGCAGGTTTAGAGGTAATGAACCCAGCTCCATGTTTTTAGACGTAATATGACCTCACACGCAATATATGGACCCTCTAGTATGAACAAACCATTCGCTTCAGTGCTACATGTATATATCTAATTTCTATAGTTGGAAATCCTTGCATATATTTACACATCGAAGAATCTTCATCTGTAACATTTTCCATAAAATTTCAGCCCCAATGTGAAAAAACTCTTGACATTTTAACTTCAATGGTACGACCAAAATTGTTATCAATGTTAAGATAAGTTTAAACTTCTGGTGTCATCCTCCCTTGGTGCTTAAGAAGAAAGAATATATTTAAATCGACTTATGCTCAACTTCCTTTAATGTTTGACATATTGGGGATTCTTTTGAGTAATCTAGACATATTAGAAATTAGAGGTTAAAAAAGCCACCTAATTTTTCCCCTCTTCTCTATCAAGTATGGATTCCTTCTATACTTCCGCTAATATTGTTGTATTATTATGCTGGACATCATCATGTTTAGGGGTAATTTACTTCTACTAGCTTTGAATGTCAATCATAAATCTTAAGTTACTGGTTTACTAAGCAGAAACTGGGATTTTATTTTGTGATGCAGCCGCACATGAAGTTGGACGATGCAGTTCTATGCATGGTTTACAGGAACCTGAATGAAAATGCAGGAAGAAAAAGGCAAAATCCGTCAGTTCATCCACAGCAATCGATCCAATCCCCAGAACAGATTGAGAATTTGTCTAGTGGTACTTTACAGTCCTTGTTTTGTTAAGAAATTAGAATGTAGTTAGAAGATGTTGTCGATTAGCCTAGTTGACATGAATGTCAGGTAGTTAAGAGTTTGAACTGAAGTACACCCAAAATAAGTGGCTACAAGCCAAACACATAATCATCAAAGCAACAATAAAAGGAACAAAATAACAGGCTTCAAAACTGGAATTTTTTTTTTTTTTGTGTGTAATAAGAAATCAAGAATTTTGTAAAGATCTTAACATTAAATCTAGCTAACATTTATAAAATCGCAATCTAACCTCTATGTCTTGAATTAAACAACTTAACTTCTGTATTACTTATCTCTCATTTCAACTGTCTACAGGTTTTCGTGCTGAAGATAACAAAGGGAAAGTGTGTGAACAAATACCTGAAAATAACATGATGGTTAGAAATTTTAACATGGATGCAATGGAGACCAAAAGGGAAGACAATGCTGGAAAGATGCCCCCCGGATGGATATTCTGCCCCAACGACGAACAAATCATCTGTAAATACCTCTACAAAAGAATTCACAACCAAACGCTTCCATGCAAAAATGTCATCAACGAAGTTCACCTATACGAATTTGATGCTCCTGCTCTCATTGGTCAGTCCCTATGTGAACTCCCTCTTTATTTTTGGATGAATCTGATGTATATGTTTATGATTGTGTATATTAAGGATCTGAAGTCAGTGTGCAGCCCGTAATGCACTCAAAGATCACGGTCTCACTGCAACTATCAACTTCGTAAAAAAAACTCACAACCCAGCCTTTGTTACAACCCATACTCTCTACTAATAAGTTATTCCTTTTTCATCTTTTTTCACTTCATAAGAAAGCACCAATAGAACAACACGCATAGTAAGTTCAAATTGGCGATAGTACAGGGTATATTCGCAACCTGAAAGCACCAATAGAACAACACGCATAGTAAGTTCAAATTGGCGATAGTACAGGGTATATTCGCAACCTTATCTAGCATGGTTAGTTACGATTGAATATTCAAATTTGATCTGTTCAGATATAACTTGTTAATTTCTATTACGCAGAGGAATACCAATCAAGCGAGCAGCATAGAAGTTGGTACTTTTTCACGGATAGGACCCGGAAGTACCTTGGAGGGAAGAGGCCAGCGCGTTCCACGCCAAACGGTATCTGGAGGGAAAACATTGGGATTCAGGGTGGATGATGCGCGAGTACAGGATCGAGGAGTTTCAAATACCTTGCTCCCAGAAAAGGAGGGGGAAGACACCTAAAAACCCTGCAGGTTCAGAGGTGAGTGATTCCTTTAATGTTTGCATTCTTTGCTTAATAAATTGAAGTCTATCCTTTTAGGCATAATAAACATTACCCATAAAATTTCAAACCCCGGTATACAGAGACGCTGCATGCATAGTAAATTCAATGGTAAAGTCATAATTGTACAAAAAAAAAACTTAGGATGAATTTGAACTTGCGCAATTTTTCCTGTATTCCTTTCACATTTAAGTAGAGCTATCCTACTCAAATCCATGCGCAGATTCAGATTTTTTTTCCCACATATTAATCTTGTTTTTATCACTATTACTGTTTTGTTATATGTCAATGTTTAATGTTTTGTTATATGTCAATGTTTCATTGTATTATGTTGGACATCATAAATTCTAGGGGTACTTTTTCTCCTTCTGATATCATGGATCTTAATTTGCTTTTATTTTGTTATGCAGTGCAACATGAAGTTAGACGAAGCAGTTCTATGCAAAGTTTACAAAGTACAGAATAAAAATGCAGGCAGAAAAAGCCACGAAGCATCACGGAATTCATCAAGTGATTCATTATTAGACGTGGTTTATCAAACCCAATCGCTGAACCAGCTAGCTCCAATTCAAGGCCAGGGTACAATTCAACCATCGGGTCTATTTTTTCCTGTTCCGTGTCCAGGTTATGATCCTAATCATAACACAAATGGTTTGATATTCTCTCGACCCAACGAAAGAGGGAGATTACCGAACCGAGTGAACCCAAACTATTTCAGTACAATGAACCAGACTCGCTCATTCCCAACCAAATCTGTTGTCTACCCAAGTCTACCAAACTGGTGCCCCTCCGGATCCGAACCATGCTTATACGAAGGAGAATCGAACTTGTCCAATTTTCTCAATGTCAATGGAATGGGTGTACAATTGGCTCTATCTCAAGACATCCATCAACGGCAATTGAGCATATGCCCAGAACAAAGTGAAAAATTATCATCTGGTGCGGTATTTGATGTGGCTCGTCGGACCCAATCACTGAGCCAATACTCAACTGAAGGCCTACCATCAAGTCATCCTTCTCCCGTTCCATGCTCGGCTACTGATTCAATGTACAATAATGGATGGAGACTGTTCAACCAAGCGAACTCTAGCTATTCAAGTACAGTGAGCCAGGATCAATCATATGAAACAAATTCTGTTGTCAACCCAAATCTACCCACCTGGTGCATTGGCTCGACAAATTTGAACAGCTTCTATGTCGATCCATCACAGTCTGGATTTCTCGATGAAAATGGACTTTTTGCAGTTTCAGACACGCAACGATTACATCCAAACTATCTATGATATATTATTCCCTAGTAACAACAATATTCCCTAGTGACTTTTAGAGTTTCAAATACTATCTATCTATTATTTGATCTGAAGACATTCAATCTCTAAGCCTTTTAGAAAGAGTAAATTAAAGAAACCAAACGGAAAGCAGAAACGTACTTTTGATCTCATTCCTTTTTATTTTATAATTCAAAAATAATAATGTCACGCTATGCTTCAAATATTTTAGAGTGTGTTTGGTAACCAAAGTGTTTCTTTTTGTAGTGTTTTTTTAAAAAACACCATACCCTGGTGTTTATTTTTCAAACGTGTTTTCAAAACACCATTTATAGTTATTATTTATATAGCGGCGGCGGCGACCGGAACAACGACGGCGGCTCCAGCAGACGGCAGGACAGGCGGCCGACACAGGCGGGCGGGATGGCCGCGCGCGACCTCTGAACCCCCCCGAATGACTCCGGGTCGAACAGGTGGTGGACGAACGACCACCCGAGTCGGCTTGCGGTCGGACCGGTAGGTGCGGCGGTTGGGTCGCTCGGCGGCGGGCCCGGTGGTGTGCCGATTCTGGCGATATCGGCGGTGGGGCTAGCGGCGGTAGCGTCAGGCGGGCGGCGACGTGGCGGGGCTAACGGCAGCAACAGGGCGACGAGCTATCGCGGTGGCGGCGGGCGGTGGCGACAGGCAACGATAGCAGTGGGTGGTGGCGACGTGAGCGGCGCAGAGCAGCCGGCGGCGGCGGCGGTGGACGCCTGACCCGGGCAGCCGGCCGCACCCGCTAGCGCGGCAAGTGGCGCAGCGGTGGCAGCGGGCGCGCGGACGGTCGACAGAGACAGCGGCGGCCAAGAACAGAGCCGAACGGACAGCAAGCAATAGATGAAACGGGCAGCGAGCGACGACAGGGACAGCCGACGCGATGGGACAGCAGACGGGCGGCGACAGAGACGACGGGATAGGCGCGGCAGCAGACGGCAGCGTCGGGGTTCGGATTGCCGCCAGCGTGAATCGGCCAACTGTAACAAAACGACGGAGAGCGAACGGAAAGGGGAGCCCAACCGAACGGGAACAAGCGACAGAGCGAACGACAGACAGGCGACGAGCGACGGCAGGAACTAGCGATGAACGACGGGGACGGTGGCGAACAGGAACGGTTGCAGGCAACTGAAGGGACCCAAAATCCCGGGTTGTGCGTGGGCGAGAATGACCTTTACGAGGCAGGCGTGGCGAGGCGGCGGCGGGAACGGTCATCGGGCAGCGACGGCGGGCGGGTGGTGGAGACGGCGGCAGCCCTGACGGTGGTGGCCACGGCCGGGCTCAACGGGGATCGAGCAGCGCCATGCGAACATGGGAACTTCCGGACGAGCAGGGCGCTTAGATAAAAAAACGGCAGGCGGCGTACGGAGGTCCGATCCAACGATCGGGACGGGCTAGCTGACGGCGGCGGCCTTTGGACGGCGGCGGGAAGGCGCGGCGGCAGAGACCGAGTGGTGGCGGCAGGGCCGACGAGCGGCCGACGAGCAACGGCGGGCGAGCGGATGCGACGGACGGAGCCGTCAGCTTAGATGAAAAAACGAAATCTCAAAACACATTTTTGGTGTTTTAAGAAAAACGTTTATTTTTTAGATTTTGTAAAGGGTCAAGTCAAAAAATCGTCCCGGTTGCCAAACAGGTTTCATTGTTTTTTTGAAAAAAAAAACAAAAACGACGAAAACGTCATGGTTGCCAAACGCTCCCTAAAATATTTGAATCATAGTGTGACATTATTATTTTTGAATTATAAAATAAAAAGGAATGAGATCAAAAGTACATTTATGCTTTCCGTTTGGTTTCTTTAATTTACTCAAAAGGAATGAGATTGAATGTCTTCAGATCAAATAATAGATAGATAGTATTTGCATCTACAATTTCATCATCCAATGTGAAAAGTGTAACATTATATAGGTGATGTAAAATTTTGAAGTAATTTCATCATCCAAGGTTGTATTCTTATTAGAGTTGCCTAATATACTAAAATTTGTATTTCTATGCTGATTACTGTGATGCAAAGTCGTCCTTAAAATTTCTGAAAAATCGAGCATAGAAAAGATTGACGGAAGGCTTCCAACATAAGCATGGAAAACCCCATCATGGGCAGGGGAAAAAAAGTGAGCTGTAAATTATTTTTAATCTCTTATAAAGGGTTAGCTAAGTTCTTATTTTAACCCTTTATGGCCAAATATCATCTTAAAGTATAAACTAATTCAATTTCTAAGCATAATAAATAAATAAATGAATATAAGGGTATTTGTTGGGGTGGGGGGATCATTGCACTGGAAAGAAGAACTCTTTTTCACCTATCTCCCCAATTTTCTGGAATATTCTGGAATGGACGTTGGTGTAAACGGAAGAGGCTATGAATTTGGAGATAATGATGTTATTTATTAGCATGTATATATTCAATATTCAATAATAGAACTGGAGATTGTTGGCAGAAATAAAAACTCACAGTGTAACGAACTTGCATCAATTGTCGTTATCCACGTAATCATACTAATGCCGTAAAAACAAAATAAAAAAGTATAGTTCTCAAGAACCCTCCCGCGAAAAGTAACAACCTCTCGACTCTAACAGTACATGTGTACCCGCTTCTACACGTTAAGATAACTGTTCTTGCAGCACAATCTTGGCTATTGCGCCCAGATGGTGATCGTCTATAAAACCCTCCCCTTTCTTCTTCTTCTCGCTCGCTCTCTCTCTCTCATATCCTAAAACCAAACTCTCCTCTTTCTTTCCCAAAATCCATCGTCTTGTCAACTCAAAGCTCAAATCATGGCTCCCGTTGCTATGAACGAGGAAGACTACTTCTACTGTATAAGCTGCAACAATAGGAGTTTCACCAGCAGAAAGGACATGGAGGAGCATAACCATCGAGTCCACCGCCATTTCAAGGAGAAGTGCCGGAAATGCCTCAATACGCTTCGCCATGTTGGAGATCTCGCGGACCACGATGCTTAGGGACACCAAAAACATTAGCAACTTGGTGGTAAGAGCTATGTTCCCCGCCCTGCTCAATGCATCCCCTGGTTCAACCTTAACCCGTCATTACTGATCAGATCCGATGACTTCTATTCTGTGACTAGTCTTTTTCTTCATGCTTTTAGATCTGTTCTTTTCTTTGGAGCTGGATCTTGATGTTGATAGTCTTTTCTACGCTTTCTGCTACCTGAACTGAAACTGTGCAGGGATGTGCCTTTTTCTTGTTCAAGAATATTAGGATAATGAACCTGAAGCCTTGTAGCTGCGATCTTGTTCTTTTTTATTGTCAAGCATTCTTGATGTAATGTTTGATCAAGATACTTGTTGCAATAAGATCTTGTCGTGGTTGGATGCCTGCTGATAACGTGATCTCTAACAGCATCTAGATCAGAACTGAGTTTCTGGATCCGTTGCCATTTTTAACTTCTAGCTTTTAGTGCCTTTTCTTGAGTTTTTGCTTCCAGTTTTTGCATAGAACACTGTGAATTCTGTGATTTATTCTTCTGTACATTCGTTGTTTCAATTTTATTTTAGTTTTGGTGTTCTAGATCTACTATGCTCTGGATATTTGATTCTTTATGATACGTGACCAGTGAAACGAGTCACAGATATTTGAATTTGTTTTTATTAAAATAGAATTCTAACTCACAAATTCAATTGAAAATCTAAATTTGTGAGTTAG